TCTCCTCTCCTCTCCTCTCCTCCAACCTGTTGTGCAAAGAGGGGTGACCCCAGCACCCCTTGCACACCTGGGGGGGGGGGAAGCTCCCCAGTGAAACACACACACACACACAAATATACACACACCCCTTGTCCCTGCAGACGCTGCTGATGGCGCACGCTCTCCGTCGCATCCTCTACAGCACGTGGCGACCCGCCGACCACCAGTTCGCCTTCGTGGCCCGCAACCCCCGCAGCCCGGCCAGCACCCTCTTCTGCCACCTCTTCGTGGGGCCACCGGGTGAGGTGAGTGCCCCAAAGCCCCCTCCACCCCCTCAAAAAAAACCCCCACAACCCATTATTATTAATTTTAATATGGGCTGCGTAGGGAAGAGTAGGTGGAGGGAGGTCATTCTCCCCCTCTGCTCTGCACTGGGGAGGCCACAACTGGAATCCTGCCTCCAGTGCTGGGCTCCCCAGTTCAAGAGAGACAGGGAACTACTGGAAAGAGTCCAGTGTAGGGCAACAGAGATGCTGGAGGGATTGGAGCATCTCCCTGCTGAGGAAAGGCTGAGAGAGCTGGGGGTCTTGAGCCTGGAGAAGAGAAGGCTGAGGGGAGACCTTCTTCATGCTGACAAGTGTCTAAAGGGTGGGTTGAAGGAGGATGGAGCCGGACTCTTTCCAGTGGTTCCCAGTGACAGGACGAGGGGCAACGGGCACAAGCTGGACCATGGGAAGTTCCACTGAAATCTGAGGAAGAACTTGTTTGGGGTGAGGGTGGCAGAGCCCTGGCAGAGGCTGCCCAGGGAGGGTGTGGAGTCCCCTTCTCTGGAGATCTTCAAGCCCCACCTGGATGCTCCTGAGTGATGTGCTCTGGGCAGCCCTGCTTTGGCAGGGGGTTGGACTGGATGATCCCTAGAGGTCCCTTTGGATGATCCCTAGAGGTCCCTTCCAACTCCGACAATTCCCTGGTTCCATGATATTTCCAGGCAGCTTCTTTTGCCTCCCCCAGGTCCAGACCCTGCACCTCTTGCTCTGCCGCTCCTTCCAGCTGGGTTACCTGCTGGCGCACCCCGAGGAGCAGGGGGGTGAGGGGGACCCCCCGGGGCTGGGGGTGCTGCGGGAGCCCCTCAACCCCGAGGAGGTGTCGCGCAACGTCAACGCCCTGGTCTCCTTCCGACGCCTGCCCGCGCCCCCCGCCCTGGGCGCCCGGGCACCGGGGGTGGGTGCTCCCCGACGGGGTGATGGTGACCGTGCCACGGGGCTTTGCACGGCACTGGCTTGCAGGGTGGTGTCTTACACAACAGCTTGCACGGCGTTGACTTGCACGGCATTGTCTTACATGGCAGTGTCTTGCCCAACGTTGTCTTACAGTGTTCTCTTGTACGGCCATGTCTCGTGTGACGTTGTGTTGCACGGTGTTGTCTTACACAGTTTTGTCTTGCACAGCCGTGTCTTGCACAACATTGTCTTACACAGTGTTATCTTGCACGGCCTTGCCTTGTACAATGTTGTCTTGCACGGCCGTGTCTTGCACAGAATAATCTTGCACAGCATAATCTTGCACAGCATTTTCTTGCACAGCACATTTTTGCACGATGTCTTGCACAGCCTGTTCTTGCACAAGCCTTTTTTTTTTATTGCACGGTGTTTCATTGCACGGCAGTGTGTCCATGTGTCCACTTTTTGCAGGGCAGTGTTTTTGCATGGTGTTTTGCCTGGCTCTTCTTGCACAGCATTTTTCTTGCACGGTGTGTTGCACGGCGTGTTATTGCACAACACATTTTTGCACGGTGTCTTGCACGGTCTTTTCTTGCATGGCAATTTTTTGCATGATGTTTTGCCTGGCACTTCTTGCACGGTGTGTTGCACGGCGTGTTATTGCACAACACATTTTTGCACGGTGTCTTGCACGGTCTTTTCTTGCATGGCAATTTTTTGCATGATGTTTTGCCTGGCACTTCTTGCACGGTGTGTCGCACGGCATGTTGTTGCACAGCACATTTTCACACCGTATTTTGCACGGCCTGCTCTTGCACAGCCTTTTTTTTATTGCACGGTGTTTCATTGCACGGCAGTGTGTCCAGGGCACTTTTTGCAGGATGGATTTTTGGAAAACTGGTATTTATTTCCATGGTGGTTTTTGCACAGTGTTTTGCCTGGCTCTTCTTGCACGGCATTTTTCTTGCACGATGCTTTGCACAGTGCATTATTGCACAGCAGATTTTTTTGCACGGTGTCTTGCACAGCCTTTTCTCCCACGGCATTTTTTTTGCACGCTAAATCTTACGTATTTGTGTGGCATTTTTTGCACAGCCTTTCGCCTGACACTTACTTCTTGCAGAGCCTTTTCTCGCACCGTGTGTTATGTGGCACATTATTGCACAGCACATTTTTGCACGTTATTGCACAGCACATTTTTGCACGTTATTGCACAGCACATTTTTGCACGTTACCTTCAATGGCCTTTTCTTGCACGGCCCTTTTTTTTCTTTTTCCTAGTATTTCATTGCACAGCAGCGTGTCCAGGGCACTATTTTCAGGGCAGTTCCTTGCACAGCACAGTGTCTTGCACAGCCTTTTCTCCCACGGCATTTTTTTTGCACGCTAAATCTTACGTATTTGTGTGGCATTTTTTGCACAGCCTTTTGCCTGACACTTCTTGCAGAGCCTTTTCTCACACAGTGTGTCACACGGCACGTTATTGCACAGCACATTTTTGCACAGCACATTTTTGCACGTTACCTTCAAAGGCCTTTTCTTGCACGACCCTTTTTTTTCTTTTTCCTAGTATTTCATTGCACAGCAGCGTGTCCAGGGCACTATTTTCAGGGCAGTTCTTTGCACAGCAGTGTTTGCACGGTACTTTTTTGCACAGCATCTTTCCTGGCAGTTCCTGCGTGGCCTTTTCTTGCACGACGTTTTGCACAGCACGTTATTGCATGGCATGTGTTTTGCACAGTGTCTTGCACAACCTTTTCTCACAAGGCATTTTTTTTGCACAGTGTATTGCCTGGCACTTCTTGCACGGCCTTTTCTTGCACAGTGTGTTATTGCACGGCATGTTTTTGCATGGTGTCCTGCATGGCCTTTCCTTGCACGGCGTTTTTGCACAACATTTCTTTGCAGACCTGTGTTTTGCACAGCCTTTTCTTGCACGTCATTTTGCAAGGCCTTTTCTTGCACGGCCTTTTCTTGCATGGCGTTTTTGCACGGAGTGTATTCACATGGCTTTTTTTTGCACAGCAATTTTGCACGTGGTTGTGCAGGGCTTTTTTCACGTGGCCTTTTTGCATGGAACTTTTTTTGCACAGCGTTTTTTTGCGTAACATTTTTTGGAGAAGAGGAGGCTCCGGGGAGACCTAATAGCAGCCTTCCAGTACCTGAAGGGGCCTACAGGAAGGCTGGGGAGAACCTGTTTAGAAAGGCCTGCAGTGACAGGACGAGGGGAAATAGCTTCAAGCTGGAGGGGAACAGATTTAGACTGGAGATGAGGAGAGGGTTCTTCACTGTGAGGGTGGTGGAGCACTGGGACAGGTTGCCCAGGGAGGTGGTTGAGGCCCCATCCCTGGAGATATTCAAGGAGAGGCTCGACGAGGCCCTGGGCAACCTGGTCTGGTTGGGGGTGTCCCTGCTGACTGCGGGGAGGTCGGACTAGATGGCCTTTGGAGGTCCCTTCCGGCCTGGGCAATTCTATGATTGATTCTATGATTCTAAATCTGGGGGTGAAGAGGGGATTAACGGGCTCCCGCAGGGGCGGCGGGATGGGAGAGCAAAGGGGCGAGGAGCTTGGCCTTCCTCCCCGAAAACGAGAGCGTCCTCGCCGAGAGCGTGTGGGCCTTCGCCGGCATCGCCAGGTGAGAAGGCGGGAGCTCCCCCCCCAACTCCTGCCATCACCCCCTCCCCTCCGGTTCCTCCATCCCCCTGCGCCCACCTTCCTCCTCCTCCTCCTCCCCAGGGATGGGGGGATCGCGCTGCTGCGGCGGGACGTCCCCGGTGCCTTCCTGCTGCGCCCCGAGCCCGGGCCAGCCCCGCGCTGGTGCCTGTGGGTGCGGGCGCCCTGCGGCGTCGTCCCCTATGGGCTCTGCAGGACCCAGCAGGGCCGGTTCTGCGTGGAGGTGAGGGGCTGCGGGCAGGGCACGGGGCAGGGGGCTCGGCTGCAGTGGGGCAGGGTGGCACCCGGGCACCGGCGTTTGATGGGGCTGTGCATGGGTGCATCGGTGCATGAGTGTGTAAGTGACTTAATGCATTGGTGCATGGATGTACCAGTGCATTTGGTGCGTCTGTGTGGGGATGCACGAGTGTGTAAGTGTGGTTGACGCATCGGTGCGTTGGCACATGGATGTACCAATGCACTTGGTCCTTCTGTGCGTGGATGCAGAAGTGTGTAAGTGCAGTTGATGCATCGGTGCGTTGCCACATGGATGTACCAGTGCATTTGGTCTGCCTGTGTGTGTAAGGGCAGTTGATGCATTGGTGCATGGGTACGTGGATGCACTGGTGTGTAAGGGTACCTCTGCACGCATGAACAAGTGCATCGGTACACGTGTGCATTTGCCACACTGTGTAAGTGCATTTGAGCACCTGTGCATGGATGCACGAGTGTGTAAGTGCAGTTGATGCATTTGATGGCTGCATTGGTGCATGGATGTCCCAGTGCATTTGGTCTGCCTGTGCGTGGAAGCACGAGTGTGTAAGTGCAGTTGACATATTGGTGTGTTGCCACATGGATGTACCAGTGCATTTGATGCATCTGTGTGTGGATGCACGAGTGTGTAAGTGCACTTGATGCATTGATGCGTTGCCACATGGATGTACCAGTGCATTTGGTCTGCCTGTGCATGGATGCACAAGTGTGTAAGCGCAGTTGATGCATCGGTGCATGGGTACGTGGATGCACTGGTGTGTAAGGGTACCTCTGCACACATGCACAAGTGCATCGGTACACGTGTGCATTTGCCACACTGTGTAAGCACATTTGAGCACCTGTGCATGGATGCACAAGTGTGTACATGCAGTTGATGCATTGGTGCATGGCTGCATTGGAGCATGGATGTACCAGTGCAGTTGGTGCGTCTGTGCGTGGATGCACGAATGGGTACATGCAGTTGATGCAGGGGTGCATGGCTGCATTGGTGCATGGATGTACCAGTGTCTCTGTGCGTGGATGCACTGGTGCATTGTTACACGCATGCACTTGTGCTGTGTAAGTGCATTTGTGCGTGGATGCACTGATGCATTTGTGCACAGATGCACTGGGGTGTATGTGCAGTTGGTGCATTGGTGCATGGATGCGCTGGTGCATCAGCACACAATGCACTAGGGTGTATTGGTGCATTTAATGCACTGTGTAAGTGCATTTGTGCACCTGTACCTGGATGCATTGGTGCATTTGGTGTGGCTGTGTGTAGATGTGCTGGTGCACAGATGCACTTACACACCAGTGCACCTGTGCATGGACACCTCATTGCACGGGGGTGCACTGGTGCATTTGATGCATTGGTGCACGGATGCACTGGGGTGGTGCGTTGGTGCATGGATGCACTGGTGTGTATGTGCATTTGATGCAGGGGTGCACAGGTGCATTTGCTTCACAGTTGCACGGGTGCACAGGTGTGTAATTGTGTGTGCTCCACAAGTGTGTGGGCGCACAGAGGCATCTCCTTCACGGCTGCACCAGGGCTCAGGTGCCTCTGTGCGTGGTGCACGGGGGTGTCGGTGCAAGGGCACGTTTGATTCATGGGTGCATTGACACACAGGTGCCCCTGTGCACGGTGCAGGGCGCACGGGTTCCAGAGTGTGCGAGTGCACAGCCAAATCCGTGCTTTGGTGTGCAGTTACACTTGATGCACAAGTATATCCGTGCATGGGTGTGAGTGTGAATCACGGGCACGTTTGATCTGTGTTTGATCTGTGGGTATATCTGTGTGCGAGGCGCAGCGGTGCGGCGTGCACACGTGGCTAGGCGGGGTGCTTTTCTGCATGCACACACGGGTGCAAGGGGCGCACTGGGTTTGCGTGGTGCACAAGTACACGAGTGCCTTCGCCGCGGGGGTTTGGGGGTGCACGAGTGTCGTGCGACGAGCGCGGGGGTGGCGGGGGGGGGCCCCCCCCCCCGGCAGCACTCCAACGCCGAGTTCTCCAGCGTGGCCGCCCTCCTGGCTCACTACTCGGGGGGGCCGGGGGGCTGCTTCTGCCGCTTGGCCACCGGCCGCCGCAACCCCGGCTAGGAGGAGCAGGACGCCGGGGGGCCCGCCAGAGCC